TTGCAATAACAATAATTATTTTTTCGAATTGCAACTAACTCTATCTTGTTCAAAATTTAATTACAAAACTTTTTTTCCTCTTCCATTTTTGTCTAAAATGAATAGTTGCTAAGTTATCGACGAGAAATCCAAGAAAAAAATTATTATTTTTTGTTATTTTTTTATACTATTTTGTAATAACAATTAAGCCCACGTTTTTTTTATTTGCATAGAAAAATTATCATTTCTGATGTTATTTAGAAGCCGTTAAAGCAAAAATCTCCGATCATATGCGTTTTACCCAAGTATACCCTTTATAAAACAGATACCACCTGGACTAAATTGCTTCAGCGACTGGACTAATTTTCGGTTTCTGAGCCTTGTATGTACTGTGTTAGGATATCTCAAATACAACATTATGTATTTAATATTAAAGCTAAAGTACGAGTATACATATGTTATTATTATCTTTAACTTTATTAAGGTATTTTCTGGTAATTTTTGCTAAGTACGAAGATATTTCGTTTTTATAAAACTATAATTTTAATGGCGTCGTATCAACTACAGACAATTTGAAGAATCCGTAAAATTTAAAGAATCCTAATTTAGCAACACCGCTAAAAAACTAACTTGCTGACCCCTGCCCATACCTGTCGACGAACCCCAGATGCGTGGGGAACATCATCTCAACCATGATAAGATCAAAGTGCTCGCTCTCGTTCCTTATAAGATCCTGAACTTCCGGCTGACTCAGCTGCCAATCCGCAGTCTTACTCAAAGCCGTCATGTACGTATCCAAGAGTTCCTTGTTACCTCTACCCCGCGCATTGCTGATCACCTCAGAAGCGCCGTGTTGCTCCATCACCTCGTAAGATCCCTTCAGATCGATCTCTTTGAGGTTATTCAGCTCCGGCTCCCGCATCGGGTCCGTCGTAAGGAGGACTATCTCGTGTCCTCGCTTCGCCAGTTCCCTCCATAGCGACCGAAAGGTTACCTGATGGCTGTAGGACGGAGTGAAAATGGTAGCCAGTATCTTTGCACTCTCGGTACGCGTTATTAAAACTACGAATGCCGTTACAAAATACAACGATATCTTCATTTTTCGGACGAAATTGCACGGAACAACGTATCCACGTGAACCACTTGTTACTTTTGCAACAAAGTGTCATCATATCTCTATTTCAATGGGTAATTATGAACACGGTATCTTACAGTTTATCATTTTTACGTTTTTCAAGTATTTGTTGATTTAGCTGTTCAACAGTAAATGGTAAATGCTTATAAAAAACAATTTAGTCCTGCATTTTGATGATATAAAACCAAACTTTTGTTTTTTACATGGAATGGTAATCGAAAATCACCTTAAACCCCGTTAAAATGTATCTCGCTTGTAGTTGTAACGAGCGTTCAAATAAAAACGTGGTCGAAGTTGGCTCTGACACATTGGACGTAGGGAGTAGCTTATAGCGACCAACTTAACCTCATTTCTCAACGAGCTGTATAGCAGCTGTCAGTTTCAATAACGTTAANTTAGTTCAACGGCTACGGGCCAGCCCGAATGTTATGTTGGTTGCTGCTGAGATCATGATTATCAAAATTATAATTTTAAAATTTGGTAGCGGATTTCATTAGAATCTTGTAAAACTTTTAGAATAGAGATTTCTGAAAGATTTTAAGGTAATGACGAGAAAAATGAGCGTTAGAAGTTATTCTACATTCAATGTTAGAGCACCATTGGTTGCATTTTTTGGTAATGGTCGCCGTGGTATTCTCCCGTTGCGATGCCTTATTTATTCTAATTATAATGATTGTCACAAATAATGGGCATATCTTACTATTTATTATCTTTGTAATCTAAGAGATAAAGTTGAATATAACTCAATAATTTCCAGACAATCTCAAATACATTTGAAGGATTCTTATAGATAAATCATATTACGAATAACTGCTACTCATAATGTATGTTTTTTGGTTAATTTGTATCGGTATATTTTCAACATTACATTTAAGTGAATGTGCACGAATCTTAGGTGTGATCCCCTTGCCTTCCTACAGCCACCAGGTAGTGTTTAGGCCGATATGGAACGAACTAGCCAGAAGAGGACACGATGTGGTGGTTATAACCACCGATCCGCAAAATGATCCGGATCTGAACATCACGGAAATTGACGTCAAATTAGCGTACGACATATGGATTAACAGAAATTTTGTTAGGACCTTTAATGACAATAAGTACAACTTATTCGCTTTAAGTAGAGCTATCATGGAATTAGCTAACGATATATCCGAACAAGAACTGTCACATCCAGAAGTGCAAAGTCTGTTGCGAAACGAAAGCGAACACTTTGACTTAGTTATGGTGGAGTATTTACTCCCCGTGATGTTCGGATTTGCTGAAAGATTCAAAGCTCCCTATATCGGACTGGTGTCTATGGATTTTCCAAATAATTATCACGATGCTTTGGGAAACCCTACCCATCCGATTTTATATCCGGATCCGTTTGCAGGTTTTGTGGGTAAATTAAATTTCTGGGAAAGACTAGGTAGCGTGGGACTGACGTTAATAATGAAACTAATGGACTATTACCTAGCACTCCACAGGGATCCCGTCATTAGGAAGTTGACGTGCCTCCTCTGGACGTTATTATAAAAAATGTCAGCATGTTACTGATCAACGAAAACCCAGCCTTTAGCGTCAGACCTATAGGACCTGCCTTTGCACTTTTTGGGGGTGGTATGCATTTGAAGCCGTTGAAGCCGTTGCCGCAGGTTATTACTTCACAAATACGTATACAATATGGGCCTAAAGTATGGAATAAATTCAGTAAAAACGAAACATTTTTTTTTTTTTGGGACAAATCCTCGAACAGGTCGATTTTTAATTTAAAAAATACATATTTTAGCATAAAAGGCGATTTTCAACCGTCATTTGTTTTTGTCTATCGTATTTTAATACTGTCGGATCGACAATGAAACGATCTTTCAGAATCAAGAAAAAAAATAGGGGGTTACTATTTAAAAAAAATGTCGATGACGTCATTACTCGAAAACAAATGACGATTGAAAATGGCTTTTTATGCTAAAATATGTATTTCATTTATTTCATTTCAGGACCTGAAGGAGTATCTGGATGGCGCCAAAGACGGCTTTATTTACTTCAGTCTAGGAACGAATGTGAAAAGCGATATTTTCGTACCAGAAAAGAGGAAGATTGTTTTGGATGCTTTCAGAGAACTGCCGTACAAGGTGTTGTGGAAATTCGATATCACGGACATCCCCGATGTCCCCGATAATGTAAAAATTTGTACATGGTTGCCCCAACAAGATATTTTAAGTAAGATTTTTAATTTCTCATTATTAACGTTTCATAGTTTTTGAAAATGAATAATAAAAATGCAGCTATTTTCAATTTTAAACTCGATTCTTCAGTTGATACAATTTATGTTCTAAAAGCGAACAGGTGACAGATGATTTTCTGAATTTGGTTTACTCAAGTAAATGACATTTTGAAGAAGCAATTTTATTAAAAATGTTTCTAATTTTAGGACACCCCAACATAAAAGTTTTCATTACCCAGGGAGGGCACCAATCTACAGAAGAAGCCATCTTTAGTCAGGTCCCCATAGTTGGGATTCCACACATTGCGGATCAAGTCGGAAACGTGAAAAAACTTGTGGCAAAAGGCGGAGGCCTCTTCCTCGACAAAGATGCTCTGAACAAAGAGTCTGTTAAGGAAGCAGTACTAGAGGTTATCAACAATCCCAAGTAAGTCACGGAACTCCTAAACAGGGTACACAACTGAATAATTACTCTCTCGATGCACCCATTTTAATAAATTGGGTGAGAAATATTCGAAATAAATAGTAGGTAGAGATGTTTTAAAATCTTATGAGCTTTGACCTTCATATGCGCAGAAACATAATTCCGACCATCGCCTAAATTATTCGACGTCCTAAAAACATTACACCCATTATTCACAGTCTCTCTCGAGCTCTAGCGTAAACAAGCCTTTGATCCGATTACAAATATCATAATAAAATGCCCTATTCGTTATTATTTTAATTTAAACAATAAAGATATATATAACGAACGTTCGCCAGTTGACTTTATTGATGCCCGAGCGCCTTAGTTCATGTCTACTTGTAATGATGCACATGGTCTAGTTACGAGTCAATGTTTTCACAACGTGCTTATTAGAAGAATTATGGGGATACGCCACGCCTTTCGCGCATTTCACGGCTCATGAGATATTAAAAGACCTCTAAATCGAAAAATATTATTTGTTGCAGGTACAAAGAGAGTATTACTGAAATAGCCGAACTGTCAAGGGATCAACCAATGACGGGAATCGAAAAGGCGATCTGGTGGACGGAGTACGTCATAAGGCATAAGGGGGCGCGTCATTTCAGGAACCCTGCCATCGATTTGCCCCTTTACCAGTACTACTTTTTAGATATTATAGGGTTTTTGTTAGCTGTGATATCTATTTTCATATTTATTAGTCATAAATTAATTTTATTTATAAAAAATTTTGTCGTAAGGAAATGTTTCACGAGTTCAAAGAAACTTAAATCAAAGTGATGAATTTGTAGATATATAAAATATCTAAATCTAACAAATGTTTTTATGGACAATATATACTACAGTCATTGAAGCTGAAAATCAGCTGTAACCTCCGAATTCTTTGAAACTGCATGGATTTGCATGAAAATTTAGAATAAGGCTCATCTTAGGCTCAAGTTCAAAAGTGACATAAGCCCGATTGATGCTTTTTGTTTTTTAGGGGTAAAAACTACCCCTAAGAGAAAAAATTAAATTTAAGTTTTAAGAATTTTTTTGATAAAAATCTTGTTCAAGCACAAAGATTAATTAATGTTCCATTTTCTCGAACATGTTTTATGATATATTTGATCTTTTCGACCCTTTATTTAACCCTTAAAAACTACCCCTATGCAAAAAATAATAATAACAAATTACTTTTTAAAGATTTGGAAAGTTACCTTATAGCTAATAAAAGAATTTTTCTCTTTCAACCCCTAAAAACCACCCCTGTATTGACAAAAATTAGAAAAAAATTATGTTTTAAAAGCTTGGAATGCTTTAACGGTGCAATTATTTAAAATAAAAATTCTCTCTTATCTCTTAACACTTTTCAACCCTTATAAATCACCACTGTGCCAAAAAAATTATACAAAATTACGTTTTAAATCTTGGATTGCTATAATTATGCAATAATTTAAAATAAAAATTCCTTTATATTGTTTATAAAAGAATATTTTACTTTTGCCATTGTCAACTCTTACAAACTACGCTTTTACCAATATCAATGTAAAATATTTTTATTATAATCGATTTTTAAATATAATCAATCATAAAAAAAAATTGGTACGCTGCATATAAATAATCACACTAAATTTTTTTATTTATTTTATTTGTATAGTATAATATAAAAAAATAAGAAAGCCTATTTTGCTCCGAAAAAATGTCATTGGTTTTTTTTACCATAACTCGGTTAATTTTGAAGCTATAGTATCATACAAAAAAGCATTTTAAAGATAATTTCAAGAACTGCAAGATCGTTTGCATATAAAACCTTTTAAGTCCTTCGTTTTTTAAAGGGAAAGGATAGAAGGGCTCGAGACAGGTCGTTTTTTTCACTAAAATGGAAACTTCAAGCGGCGATATCTCCTTTATTTTTATGCTCTAGGAATAAAAAAAAAGCAAAATATTTGTTGAAAAAAAAAGCTAAATTTTTGGTCTATCATTTTTTACGTATCTTTCATGGTTTTAGTTATTATATAAATAAGGCAATTTTTTTGAATAATGAAAAATACGTTTTCAACTTTTACCGTACATTATTAAAAAAATACGCATTCTAAACCGGTCCTAACTTTAGGATCGTATGAAGAACACTAAAACAAAACTAATTGTAAAGGGTCTACGATTAAATTTTAATTCTCATACTGCTCATTTTTCCTTAAAAAAATATGAGCAACCCATCTGTTTTTGACGATAACTCCTTCAATTTTGTTCTAATTAAATTTTATAAATCCTTATTTTGAAGGTCTTTTTGAGTACTACAAAAAACTCCAGGAGCGTTATACACGGAAAATTAATCATTTTTTCGTTATTTGACGTTGAATACATCGATTCGACTATTCCCCCCAAAACAAGTTCCCTTCCATTAACCATATTTCGCTTTGTATAGGACTTACAACACTTTTTAAAAAACGATTTTCTTTGTTTATTTATAAGCTGCATCTTTGTTCATTACACTTTTTTAAATAAAATGCGTAGTTTATGAGTTATTCGCGAAAAATACTTTGAAATAATGTTTTTTTTTCCACTCAAAATTCCAAGTTTTCAATCGTGAAAAACTAAAAAAACTATCGATTTCTCGAAAAAATTCTTCAAATATTTTCTGCTCAAAATTTGATTCTCTATCGATTTCCAGCGTTATTTTTGAAAACAAATTTCCACCCCAACAGGGTGGAAGCGTCAATCGGCGCTATGTCACTAATGTTCATTGACCTTTTCTCTAACTATTTATCTGCCAAATTTCAATTCGAATATTAGTCATTTTTTATTTACAAGTCGTATTTTATTTTCATTATTTTACTACCAATTTTTAACAGATCCATTACAACTATGTATTTGTTCTAAAGATTGCGATTTTAATTATTGTGATAAACTGTAAATTTTTCAAACCCGATGTATGTTGTAAAAATTGTTAAATTCTTGTGTTTCACCTTTCACAAAGTCCAACACACAAAAAGGAGCCACATTAGAGAAATCTGTTATAAGTACAAAAGGCATTTCTTTGAAGGAATACATTATTTAATGATTTCAATGTCAATGTTTCCATTTTAGATAATTATTAAGAACTAGTTATTTACTAGATGTTTAATAGTTGTAAGGCAAATTGTTGATTTTTGACAAATGTAATGCATTTGTTTCAGAGACTGTGAAATGTTTAAACATTGTTGCAAGACAAATGGTCTGTATATCTTAGTAGTTTATTTCTTTATGGGCGTAATATTTTTAAATGCAACTTGAAACTCTCGTATCTTTTTCCTATTCTATGTAAATTAAATTTAATATATCGTACTTTTATATCAAGTATTTTATATCAAGATCCGACCTTTAAATCAAAGATTAACAAAACCTACGATCAAATATGTTTTACTTTTTCCTCAAAAAACGGGGCATCCTACCAAAAAAAATTGAAGAGACCAATTTTACTCAGAATTGATGCCGGATTTTAAAACAATATTAAAATGGGGGAAAAGTCAGTGGCGTACCATTTTTTTTTATTAAAAAGGTTGTGGCATTCTCGCACGGACGCCACTGGTGCAAGTAGAAATATTCGGATCACCTCAAGAAATGCATATTTATTCCTCCAAAGCGTTTTTCAAATTTCGAGGCAATATCTTTAAAAACCTTTGAAATAATTAATAAAAATAAATAAAAAATTAATATTTAAACACTCCGTACCTGGGAAACGAAGCATATTTCGACTTAGTTTATATGAACTTTTTTTCACAAAATAACTTAGGCAGCCACCCTAATTCCGGTCGTTGCATTGTTAGCCGTCACGGAATGATTCACGTGTTTCTGTAAACTTAAATTGTTATAATCTTAAGTGAATTTATCTGTCAAGACACATACCATAAACAAATACCTTTAAAACCAGTGTTTACATAGGTTTGCCTTAAATACATAATGACGAAAAACCGCGATGTAACACTTTCTTAGTATCTCGAAATACATGGAAAATCACTGCCAAACATGCTTTCGTTACGACAGAACGTAATGAAAAGCTTTAGCGAATATCGACTAACGAATATCGAAGTTCGTAATATTTGGGCGAATTATAAATATCTTATCTATCAGTCTATCACTATCTCAGGTATCGAAAAATCTTTGATACAATATATAATATACTTTATCGACAGAGACAACTACTGTTCTGTGTAATATACGTAGCATGCCGTCTATTCGTTGTTCGGTAAGTGTTTTACTTTTACTACCGTTTATTTCTAGTTTATGTGATGTGTTTTTTATTGCCGTTACATTACAAAATAAAATATTGTAGATATTAAGTGTAGTGTTTCTCGTACATATTGTACTCATTATATTTATAACACAGCACTTATTTATTTTAACTATAACCAATATACAAATCTATTCAAAACATAATCGCCAAATAATGTTTATAAAATGATAAAAATCTTTGTTTTCAGAGGAAACCTTCCACTGATTCCTATACATCTGTTGATTCATCTAATTCTTCACCCAAAAAGAGACCCATGTGGCAGACAATACTGATAATTGTAGGGATTGTGATGTAAGTAAGTAATTTAATCGTGGATTAATATTTTGCACATCGTTTATCTTATCGTTTATATCCGAAAATCGCTTCTTAGAGAATAATACACTCGAAAGATACACTGTATAAGGCTTTACTATAATAATATGTCTGGTGAAAGTACAGCTTTCAGTGTCTTAAATAACCACAATTTTTTTTAAATAAAAAAATCAAGAAGTTTCCGAGATATTTATTTTTACCGGTCTGAAATACTTTTTTTTTTCAAAGAAAAATTCTACTTAGGAAAATTATCGTACAGAGTTTTACCGATGATCATTTTTTTTGTTTTGACATATACTTTTAGGTGAAATAAAAAATCTTTAGTCACAGTTTAAAAACATGCTGAAAAATGCAAAGAAAATGACTTGCAACAATGAATTTTTCAGTAATTGTTGATAATTTGTGTAAATTAAAAAAATATCAAAAACTGATTACACCATTCAATTCCACGGAAAAAATAAAAAAAACTGTCTCATTGTTTGACCCAAAACTTCCTTTTTGTACAGTATTGCTATAAACATCAAAGTCGAATTTCAAATGCACAAATGAAAAATTATCTCTGGATGATTTGAGATTTCAGCAATACAAAGTATTAACTGCAATGTCTGCTGTTGACGCGAAACCCAAAAACCATAAATTTTGTAAAAATCATTTTATTCTTTTTCCGGCTTTATTTGAAAACGAATTTTAATTTTTTTTTTAATTTTTCCTGAGTACGGCTCTGAACGCTTTCAAAATATCTACTGGATAAAGTCATAACAGTATAAAAGTCAATGCCGCACAAAATATCCAACAATTTTTTTTACTACTACTAGCAATACTAATTAGAAATAATAAAATATTTCATAAATTCGTATTATTTTTTTATTAGATACCTACAACTTTTTAAATTATTGATTAAAACAAATTGTTGGATATTTTGTGCTGTATTGACTTTTCCAATAGATATTTTGAAAGCGTTCAGAGCCGTACTCAGGAAAAATTTTAAATGATAGCTAAAAACCTTTTTTTACCTTTTTTAAATTACAATAGTATCTAATATCATCTAATTCAGAATTAAAAATTACTTTATATTTTGTCATAAATATAGCAGCGACGTATTTAAAAAAAATTAACCTGATGATGGCCACTCGAAGAAGAAACGTCGGATTGCAAAAATGTTGACGTCATTGGATATAGCGAAAAAAGTGGCACTGGAAATATGTAATTTATTTTAAAATTCGTTTTCTAATAAAGCCAGAAAAAAATTAAACAATTTTTAAAAATTTCCGTTTTTTCTGGATATCGCCGGAACTAACTAACCGGAATTTGTATATCTATGAATTCATCAGAATTAAAAAAAAAAAATAAGTACATAATCAATCCTACGGGAAATTATTTATTTTATTTATTCACTATTCGACTTATGGTTATAGAAATACTGTACAAAAATAGTTTTGGGTCAAACAATGAAACAGTTTTTTTTTTTAATTTTTTCCGTACAATTGAATGGTGTAATCAGTTTTTGTTTTTTCTAATTTAAACTAATTATTATCGACAATTACTGAAAAATTCATTGTTGCAAGTAATTTTTTATTTTTTTGCATTTTTGAGCATGTTTTTGAACTGTGATTACAGATTTTTTTATTTCACCAAAAAGTATGTCAAAACGAAAAAAAATGATCATCGGCAGAACTCTGTACGATGATTTTTCTAAGTAGAATTTTTCTTTGAAAAAAAAAGTGTTTCAAACCGGAAAAAATGAATATCTCGGAAACTCCTTGATTTTTTTATCTAAAAAAAATTGTGGTTATTTAAGACTTATAAACGTATACTTTCACCAAGTTTCGTCAAAATTACATTATTTTTGTAGAAATGAGAAATAAAAAACGAAAAATCAGAAAAAAAACCGTTTTTCCCATTTTTCTTGGAAATTTTGAGGTTACCTTGAAAAGTGACCTCTACAAAAGTCGTAGATTTTTGCATGATATACATCTTTTATATTAGATACTTTTTTGTTTGACGTCAACTTTCGCCAGAAATCCCAATGATACAATTATTCACAACTTTTCAACCCCCCAAATGAACCCTCCGCCTCCCCTGCTCACGCATTTATTTTTTTTATATATGAAAAGCTCGATGAATCACTCTGTATATCATTTCCTTGAAATATATCTAATATCATCCATATTGTCTCAGTTTTGTTCTAGCCTTTCTAATTTTCCTAGCCATATGGGTAGCAGTGCCGATAGCTTTCATGCAGTCGCTTTCCTTTCAAAAATTCATGATATTCATAAACAGTAAGTATCCACTAAATAATTTTAAAGCAGAAGGAAATAACCGCGGCGCGTTCCAGTCGATGCCCCGAAGGATCCCGACTACAACAACCCCCAAAAATACGGCATGGAGAGCGTGGTCAACTTCCACATCACGACCCAGGACCTAGACAACACCACGTTGGTCAGCATCGGCAGCTGGATGATCGTCCACGAGGATGAAATGGACACCTTCAGCAGCAGCACGCAGTCGAGCGACACTGCCTCCGAAATTGTTACAAACACGAAGAAGCCGGTGATTATTTACATGCACGGCGTCGCCTGTAACAGGGTGAAGCCCCTGGCCACATATAAGGTGCTCAGGAAGTTCTTTCTGGTCATAGCGCCAGATCACAGAGGTAATAATAATTTATAGTCCAATTAAATAAGCCTTTAAATCGAAATGTTGGTCAACTTGCCTGAATTTTTGATACGAGTTATAGTAGGATCATATTCGATGCAAAGTAATAAATCATTGCCTGTCAAGGGAATCAGTGCAACACGTTTTAGGGGGTTTTGGAAATTGAATAATTTCTTTATGCATTATAGACTAATAGGTAGCCAAAATGCTTCAGTAACTGGACTTTGTTAGTAATTAGTGTATACAGAAAAAAAACAGTACATTTTCAACATTTTAGGACAAATATTTATATGGAGTGTCCTTATTAAGGAATTCAAAATTCATTTGTAAATTGATGACAGAGAAAATAATTAAGTAGGTATTAACAGTTTACATTCGATATAAAAAATTGTGTTTAAAAATAGGAATTCCTGCAATTACTTCAATAAATCTTTCCCAAAACAAATTGGTATCTAACCAAATATTTCACAAGTCAGCATATTTATTGCATATCAATCAACAGGAGATATTTCTATTCTCTACAACGAACCATATATTGTTAAAATCGTATCTGCATCAATTATAACAATTTCTCCTAACTACTAATACAGACATGTGAAGATTTTCCATTTTAACTACGTTATCAACTGTTTTTATTAATGATATTGTGGGAACAGCTACTTCTCTGCGGGCTATAGGTCCCGTCCTAACACATATGTGTTTCGAACTTATTAGTTCTCTTTAGATGCCATAAGTGAGACTACCGACCAACGATTTATCTGTTCTACCAAGATGTTTCTTATTTTAACGTTTAATTTCAGGATATGGAGATTCTGGGCTCGACGCGGATCTTTCGGAAGACGGGATCGTCAGCGACACCGTCCAACTGTACAAATGGGTTAGGTACAAGACGAGCAACATGATCTACTTCTGGGGTCATTCGCTGGGTTCGGCTTTGGCGACGCATGCTGTTAAAATCCTCAAAGAGCAGGACGGCATTATCCCCACGGGCCTTGTACTCGAATCCCCTTTTACTACTATGAGGGATGAGATGATAAATCATCCTTTGGGCAAGGCAAGTGTGTGCTTTCTAGAAAGATTATAAAAAGTTTTTTCCGAATTTTGAAAATTCGAAAACTACAGAACCAATTTTAATGAAATTTGATGTGTTGTTTTATTACACCCTAAAATTAGAATGCCCTGGGAGCAATTAAAATATTTTTAAAAAATTATCAAAAAAACTTGATTATTTTGCCTTTTTCCATCAATTATTGCTATATTGCAACATCGGTAATAAATTTAAACATTTTTAACTTTCAGTAGATTGTGCAAAATTCAATTATAAAACTTTTTTTCCTCTTCATTATTCTTCCAATATGCATAGGTTCCGAGATATAAGTAAAAAAACCCAGATAAAAGAAGTCTTTTTAAATTTCAATGATATATGGGATCCGAAATTTATGTTTCTCATTCCTATTTCTTCTTGCAGATATACAAATGGCTAGCTTATTTTAACCAAACTATTCTGGATCCACCGGAAAGAAATGGCATGCTGTTTCTAAGTACAACCAACATTTTGTACGTGGATTGCCCCATAATGATAATGCACGCCGAAGATGATAACGTTATTCCGTACTTCCTAGGTAAAACGGTAAGTAAAACCCATCGTTACACCATTTGCTGTTACAAAGCACGTAAACAGAAAGAAAATAATCATATCATGGATACTATACTTTTTTTTTAATACAACCGAAATTGAACGTTTATTTTCAGCTAGCTGAGATTGCCAAAAGTCAAAGAGACTTACAAACCCAAGGGAACGTGACCTACCACCAGTTCCCATCTGTGGGTTATCAACATATAGGCATAACAGATGATCCAAATGTTCCCCAGTACATCACGTAAATATGCACTTTACAATTATGGTATCAAAAAAAAAACCTATGGCTATAATTTTCGAATGCAAAACAATATATAAACTTTTGATTTGACAATACATAAACATACGTTTATTATTTATAACAATTTGTGTTCTATTCGAAAATTATGAGTTTAAGGAGATAACATCAATTGAAGATATTTTTCACCATCTTTTTTTTTATTTTAGGGAGTTTATGCAAGAATGTGTTGAAGCCGACAAAGGAAGGGGTTAAATAGACTGTAGGCACTAGGGTACCTAATGCTTAATAGTCCGGGAGCCAGCCAGTTATTTTCTAGATAAAAAAATTTGAGTTTACATGACAGTTTTTACCCCAACTAAGGTCAGGCAGTGATATGAAACTCCTAGAGCGGTAATGGTGGGTACCACCCTACCCTCCAACGCGTATGCATATTAAAAAAAATTTGTAATCTTTAAATAAACCAAACTCAAGTATAAGGCATTTGATGCTGTGTTTAGTCGATTAAAGCTAGTCAGCTGGCTCGTTGATGGTAATTAGTACGTCAGCTGACCGTCGGAACAGGTGAGATGAAAAAATAATTGAAAATTATTTTTTATGTACTGAAATTGAAATATATTGCAACTTATAGTGCATATAGGGCCATAAAAATAGTCAGCTGGCCAATCGTTGGTAATAAGATCGTCAGCTGAGGCAATCAAACCCCTTGCGGCACACTATAATTTATTTGGACTTAGGTATGGACAAAATTAAGTAGCGCTTCGTAGAAAAAAGATAAAAAAAATAAAAAATATCGTTTTAAAGGTTAAGTGGAACAGATTTAGGGAAAAATAATCACATTTCACCAGCACCCCATTTACACCCTCAAAATTGCGCCCCAAAATTATAATTTTGGAAAAAAATTTACATTTTTTGTTCTCTCGTTTAAAAAATTTTTTTTTCAAATGTTACAAAACATTATTTTATAGTTTTTGAGATGAGGAATAAGAATCCATTGTTTAAATTGAGCTAAAAAAATTTTAGAACCCTTAAATTTACGAATATTTCATTTTATGATGTTTTTAGCTCAGATTTCCGCTCTTATGCATCGATTTGCTTGAAATTTGGATATTAGGTGGGGAATAGCTCAAGCATCAAAATACACCCTATGCTTAGATATATTTTTACCCAGGGGGTGGTTTCTACCCCTTTGAAGGGGTTGAAAATAAATTGTCAATATAATCCTGGGAATCGATAGAGCAACTAATTTCAAGCAAAAAATGTCTCCATACAATTTCTTTGATAAACCAATACTTTTTGAGTTATTTGCGATTGAAAACTCAATTTTCCAAATGAAAATTCATTTTTTCATAATAAAATTATAAACAGAACTGAGATCATATCCGAAAAAATGAATTTTCATTTGGAAAATTGAGTTTTCAATCGCAAATAACTCAAAGAGTATTGGTTTATCAAAGAAATTGTGTGGGACATTTTTTGCTTGAAATTAGTTGCTCTATCGATTCCAGGGATTATTTTGACAATTTATTTTCAACCCCTTCAAAGGGGTAGAAACCACCCCCAGAGTAAAAATATATATCAGCATAGGCTGTATTTTGTTTCTTGAGCTATTCCCCACCTACTGTTCAAATTTCAAGCATATCGATGCATAAGAGCGGAAATCTGAACTAAAAACATCATAAAATGAAATATTCGTAAATTTAAGGGTTCTAAAATTTTTTTAGCTCAATTTAAACAATGGATTCTTATTCCTCATCTCAAAAACTATAAAATAATGTTTTGTAACATTTGAAAAATCATTTTTTTCAAACGAGAGAACAAAAAATATAAATTTTTTTCCAAAAGTATAATTTTGAGGCTCAATTTTAAGGGTGTAAATGGGGTGCTGGTGAAATGTGATTATTTTTCCCTTAATCTGTTCCCCTTAAGCTTTAAAAGGCTGTTTTTTAATTTTTTTTATCTTTTTTCTACGAGGCGCTACTTAATTTTGTCCAGACCTAAGTCCAAATAAATTATAGTGCGGCAGCGCACTCGTGAGAACATCGAATGATATGTTTTTCGCATTAACTGACTACTCTTTTACCCGTGAACCGACAGCTGACTATGTTTTTTGCTTTGTATACACAATAAACTATCGCTTGAACCCATTTTAGATTGATAAAAAAAAATTTCCTGCAAAATACGAGCAAAAGATCCCTCATGTTACGTTGCAACCAGCGGAGTTACCTGTATATTTCTCTCGACAAACGGACTTTTTTTACCCATGTACTGATATTTGACGAAATTTTTTCATTTGAGCACATAATATGCTATCATTTAAACCCGTTTTAGCTACTCAAAATTTTTGCATAACCTTGTAATTACGTGAATATTCATGATTGTGCATCGGACTGATTCGCGTCTTAATTGAATTTTCATCGAATTAGCTTTTTTCACGAAGCGTTCATTGAAATTATTATAATATATAGTAGGTATAAAGAATAAAATATGTTTTTAATTAATAATAAGTGTGATTTATTGATAGTAGTAGCAATAGCAGTAGTGTAGAACATGATTGGAAATGATCTTATGTTGTTATTTTTTTTAATGTTATGAATTTAACATGTTAGTTTGAAAATAATATTTACAAACAGATTACGGTATGTACATGTGTACAGTATTACATAAAATGAGCACCCCTAAACTGACCGGTAGGTAGAGGTAGACTAGGACCAAGGTGACCAACTCATGAAAGTGATAATCCGGGACACTTATGAAACTAAAAAAAAAAATGTCAATCACGTTGCTTTATTAATTTACTATTCTACACAACATAATAACAAATAACTTAAACCACTCAATAAAACTAACAACGTAACAGGTGAAAGTATAATGGTGAATGTGTAACTACCTGGCCTAGTATAGGTACTTTATAAGGTAAATTTATATTTTGTTGCTTTTTCGTTTTGAAAAAATATCAATAAAACAGGTAAAATTATTATGGCATCTTGTTATAATTAGAGACTTTACTGTCTCTACATTAAATTCAGTCTCTGAGATTTATTTCACGTTATATAGGAAATACTATTGAAATCGCCATTCCGGACCAATAGGTACGAAACAAATAAATCCGATACAATTCCGGGACACTTTAATTCCCGGCACCCGTTCTAAAAATTGGAACCTGTCCCGGCCAATCCCGTACGATTGGTCACCTTGTCTTAACTGACGAGAGGCTATCGGCGAGAGTCGAAAATGTATCATGTACGTGACGAGATATTAATAAAATAATTTTTCAGGATTTACAACAGAGTCTTATGAGAATGCAGATTTTTTTGGTCTTTCCACTTAGAATGCGCAACAATTGACGAACAGTTTCCACCGCAACTTGTGTATAAACAGGAAACCGATATCTAAGGAACCGTATGACAGCTTGTAGAAATCGATTAAGTACTTAAGATACATAATTTATAATAATTCTCCTTCAAACTGCTGTCGTTGACTAAATTATCCTCCATATGCGTGATAGCGGCAACGCGGTCTTGAGGGTAGCGTATTATTTGGAATTCGCAGGTGTCCAAACAAACAGAACGATCGAACGGCAGTGAGCGAACGCCTAGCCGAGCCGTTACCACCGAGATCTCGGTGATAACGGCCGAGCGCGCTAGCCAAGTGCAACGTTGCCAAATCTAAAGGCTTACTACTATAGTAACTAGCGAATCTACAGATACTTTCGTTAGACTTTAGACATCCCTCCGTACCCGATAAACCCCCTTAAATATGCATGCACAGTCATGAATATTCACGTAATTACAAGGTTATGCAAACATTTTGAATAGCTAAAACGGGTTTAAATGATAGCATATTATGTGCTCAAATGAAAAAATTTCGTCAAATATCAGTACATGGGTTAAAAAAGTCCGTTCGTCGAGAGAAATATACAGGTAACTCCGCTGGTTGCAACGTAACATGAGGGATCTTTTGCTCGTATTTTGCAGGAAAATTTTTTTAATCAATCTAAAATGGGTTCAAGCGATAGTTTATTGTGTATACAAAGCCAAAAACATTGTCAGCTGGCGGTTCACGGGTAAAAGACATGATACAACCATACAGAGATATGATACTGCGCATGCACGGCGCCATCTTGGCTTCCTTGCTGACGTCATGTGGTAAGTCAAAAAGTAAACAAACGGATCGTGGCCATATTCTCATAGTGTTGTGTGCGTTTTTCCAAGTTTTCTTTATTGTTCCTGCCTGTATTTCTAATTTAATTCGTTGTGTGAGATTGTGCTTCATTGAGCAGAAAAAGGAAATTAAAGAAAATTGTTAAATAGAAGTTTAATCACCGCCTATCGTTTAAATATCTCCACAAAAACTGTTGCGCTTGGGTACTGAACTGTTAATTTTTATGAAAGCCTACCCCATGACAACAAATAATAATGTTTAAAATAAGTAATACTGTTTTTATTTAGTTTTGTATATATATTTTTACCTCATTACTAAAATTAAGGGCTACAGTGTTAAAATTTTTGTTTTATACTTTATATAAGAAATCGAATGCCTTTTTATAAATAAAAATCACTTTGAAAAAAATGTGTATTTGCTTCTTATCTCTGTCACAAAGGAATAATTTTGGAATCACGAAGTGGCCTATCTAACTTTGAACATAAGTAATAATCTATGCAAATATTACATAATACGTCAAAATACATTAAAACTAAAAAAATGTATGATTAATTTAATACTAAATGAAATAATATAGTTTTGAAAACGGACGTCTCTTTCGTTTTTACGCCGCTCTCTTGTAAAATTATTAAAATGCTAATTACAGTAGTTCGTGTTTTTAGGGACAAATTGTGTGTATAGTTTTAAAGCTTCGTTTTTTTATTAACACCTGTTAAATAAATGCTGTAATTATGTATTATTTAAATATTTGTGATCTAAGGCAAAAACATGTTTACAAATTTTAATTAGCCGTATTTTCCATGCTCATACGTGTGTGAATAATAGAACAATGTGGGCGTTTACTAGCCACATGACGTCATGCGCAGAGTTGAACGAAAATGAGACCTCTTAGTATCATATCTTATAAGTTTATTGTATCACGGGTAAAAGAGTAGTCAGTTAATGCGAAAAACATATCATTCGATGTACTCACGAGCGCGCTGCCGCAAGGGGTTTGATTGCCTCAGCTGACGATCTTATTACCAACGATTGGTCAGCTGACTATTTTTATGGCCTTATATGCACTATAAGTTGCAATATATTTCAATTTCAGTACATAAAAAATAATTTTCAATTAGTTTTTCATCTCACCTGTTCCGACGGTCAGCTGACGTACTAATTACCATCAATGAGCCAGCTGATTAGCTTTGATCGACTAAACACAGCATCAAATGCCTTATACTTGAGTTTGGTCCATTTAAAGATTACACATTTTTTTTAATATCCATACGCGTTGGAGGGTAGGGTGGTACCCACCATTACCGCTCTAGGAGTTTCATATCACTGCCTGACCTTAGTTGGGGTAAAAATTGTCATGTAAACTCGAATTTTGGATCTAGAAAATAACTCAACGAATTCTGCAGCTGGCTCCCGGACTATAATGGATGTCAATCATAAAAATTATCCAAAAGAAAAATATTTGTACCTACATTCCACTATCCAAATGCTCAAACGATTCTTATATTCTATTCCACTTCTTACGACGTACAACACTCTTTTTTCGTTTATTTATAAGCTACATTTTTGTTCATTACTTTTTTTTAATAAAATGCGTAGTTTTTGAGTTAATCGCGAAAAATACTTTGAAAGTATTTTTTTTCACTCAAAATTACAAGTTTTCAATCGTGAATAACAAAAAAAAACTATTGATTTCTCGAAAAAATTCTTCAAATATATTTTGCTCCAAAGATTCTCTATCGATTTCCGGTGTTATTTTAAAAACAATTCGACCCCCGAGAAGGGGTGTCAACCCCCAACAGGGTGAAAGCGTCAGTCGGCGCTATGTCACTAATGTTCACCGACCTTTTCTCTAACTATCTGCCAAATTTCAAGTTGATCGGTTCAGTTTCAAAGAATTTAGAGGTGAAAAGCTTCAATGACTGTACTAATAATATTATTAAAATAAAGAAAGAAATAAAAAAAGGACAAAACTTCTCTACGACATTATTACACTCGATAAACTAATTGTAAGTGCTGTTTTGGTTTATTTAAAGAAATGTGTATTTACTAGGTCACCTGTATTGAATACAATACAAATATTATATTTACCTAATATTCATGTTAATATCGACTAAGGCAATGTCTAAACTAAACCTCGCAAATCAATTAACTGGTTCTGCAAACAATGAAATTATTTTAATATTATTGAATTATGTTCGGTGTCACATATTTATTTTATAATGTAGGTATGTACGTATGTAAAAGTCGACTAAATTATAATTTAATTTATTGTTATTTTATAAGAAACTCTCACTGGAAACAAAAATATTAAATATATATTTTGTATAAAATAGTTGTTTTACTTCCTTTATTCAAACATGGAACAAAGAACTAAGCACCGTCATCGATTTTTTTTTTCAGAAAAACGACCTAAAACAGCGAAAATTTGTGAGTCTTGTTGTCTTTGTGAGAGATTTGTGAAACACAATTTTAATTTAACAAGGAGAAACACATGTCACGAGATAAAGATATCGAGTTATCTTTGATGGACGGGTACCAAGAATTATTCCTGTCTTAGATTTCCACAGATATTAACCTACTATATTTCGTAGTTACAATACGATATATTACAAAAAAAATGTATAAGTGGAGCGGTGGTACTTAAGATAAATGATTAATCTCCTACGTAACGTTTCTGATCATTTCAATTGAAATTAATCTCATTGTTAAACAAATTAACAATAGAAAATAATAACGTTCCGATACGATCATATACAGGGTGGTCCACATTTTAATAGACAAACTTTCGTAAAGTACTAAACAACAAAAATTAACATCACTTTGCTCTATGAATATAGGCCCAGAAAGGCACCGTTTATGAGATACAGGGTGTTGAAATGAACAAACATAAAACAATTTTTTTTTAAATATCTGGGAAACCGCTTCATCAAATTTCTTGAAATTTGGTACACATTTTTTTTTCAAATATTTCTTTTAGGTCTGTATGCACACAGTCCAAACTTAAAAACCAGTAGCGGAGAAACAAGGATATCGTTTCTTTATTTAAAGTAAAACTTCTACGCCACTGACTTAATTGGTAATATTACTACATTTTATAACGGTCTGAAACATTCCAGATGAAAAAACATTCTTTTAGTTTTGTCGAAAAATAAACGGTGTAAACTAAACAAAGCGTTGAAATTCTTGTTTCTCCGCCACTGGTTTTTGAATTTGGACTGTGTGCATACAAAACTAGGAGAAATATTTGAAAAAATGTGTACCAAATTTTGATAAATTTGATGAAGCGCTTTTCCAGATATTTAAAAAAATTGTTTTATTTTTGTTAATTTCAACGCCCTGTATCTCATAAACAGTGGCTTTCTGCGCCTATGTTTCTAGAGAAAAGTAATGTTAATTTTTGTTGTTTAGTACTTTCCCGAAGTTTGTCTATTAAAATCTGGACCACCCTGTATAATAGAAATGATTTAATGTAATAGGATGTAAAATAAAAGTAAAAAGTCTTTGCAAATGATATATTTAGAAACTTCAATATAGGATTAGGATATGTAAAAACATATGATTAAAAAAGAAAAAAGTTAGTAGGTACTGTTATTGTAGTAATAATTTTTTTCCCAATTTACTATATTTTAATTTTCAAACATCATTATTTTTTACTTATTACACGTATATATTATATTTCATTCATTTTACTACCCACAACATTTGAGCAATGTTTTATCTACTGTTTGTTCACAAATGGATATATATGTATTTGCGTTTTAATTGTTCTGTAAGTATTTTTATCCGACAGTATTTTACAGACAGCTGACATGTTGATATTTATCGTTTTCGAGATAATACTCGACAAAAATTTTAATACGGTAGTATTAGGCAATGCACTTACATATAAAATAATACTGAAATAAATACACGTCACAAAAGTCAACATGGTTATGTGGGAATTTTTAAATTGTAACCTGTTAAATTTGAACTCGATCATCTTAAAATGTTCATACTAAAATTACTAATATACTTACTCGAGGTTTAGACCAAGAAATAAAGGTGAAAAATCATGGAGAACCAGTAAAAATTACTGGGCGTGAATTTATTGTTGGAAAGTCTTGGGAATGACAATACAAGAGGGGTCTCATCAAATGGGTCATGAAAAAAGTATAGCGTCGTTGTTTTTTATCAACAAATAAGTCAAAAATTCGTAATTTTTCATTCTACGCGTTATTGTGAAAAAACTATTAATCTTAGCAAAAAAGTTCAACAGACAATTTGATCTAGAGAAACTCATCTTTAAAATGAGACTTTATAAGTTAGAATTGCTTTATAAACAAAAAAGTTATTGCAACATTGAACGGAAAAATAGTTTTTTTACAGTAACGCGTAGAACGAAAAATGACGAATTTTTGACCTATTTGTTGATAAAAAACAATGACGCTATACTTTTTTCATGACCCATTTGATGAGACGCATCTTATATTATCATTCCCAACACTTTCCAAATAAATTTCAAAATGTTTCCTTTCCTGGTCTAGTTATAGATAAAAATAAGGCTTGTAGATTGCTACCTCATTTTATGAATTCCTTAATACAAGCGTAATTATAAGAATCGAGCTAACAAATATTTAGCGTGATATACTGACTTAAAAATATATCGTAACCCTTCAGTCCGCTTCAGGTGTTTTAAATTTACGTTTTCAAATGCGTAATTATCCTTTATGTGTCTAAAAGAATCCACGTCTTGAGTAAAATGCAGATACGGATCTATCTTGTTCTCAAGTACCTATAGATAGGATTCATTGAATCGTTTCAGTATTTACTTATAGTCTGATATTTGCTTGTATCAAAAAAATATTTTCTGGATTATCATCCACTTACTCAACCAACCAGACGCCAGATTGTTATAAATACAGAGTCTGCACTCAAGTCGAACGTCAGTAGGTTTCAGGTTAATCAGTGAAACTTAGCCCAGTTGCAGGCAAGTACCATTCTAAAAATACACTGAGAAACATTATTATATTTTCGTTTTATTGTCAAGGTGTTATTAGCTAATTTAACTTTTCCTTGATCGATTTCCCTTCCAGATCCGTCACCATGAAAATAATTTTGTGTCTAGCCCTGGTAGCCGCCTCCTACGCTCTACCCAGCGTAGAGGTGCACCCGCTCTCAGACGAATTCATCGACATCATCAACAGCAAGCAGTCCACGTGGACTGCTGGAAGGAACTTCCACGTCAACACGTCCTTGGACCATATCCGTGGATTGGTCGGTGTTATTAAAACATCCGTGAAGACTTTGCCCGTCAGGGGACACGAAGTGGGCAGCAGAGAAACCATCCCCGAGACGTTCGACGCCCGCGAGCAATGGGCCGACTGTGCTGCCATTATCGGCGAGATCAGGGACCAAGCTGCCTGCGGATCTTGTTGGGTACGTATTCGAACACAAACGTAGACAAAATCTAGACGCTTGCTGAAATTCATGGCTACGAAGAGATCTAAATTTGCTGCCATTCGCTTTTTATGTCGATTTATGTTGGTTGTATATTATAAAATCTAGATTCTTTTATACATTAGATTCTAGATTTATTCGAAAAACGGGTCATTTTCGGGTCATTAATATTTTAAATGTAAAATTGACTTGTTAATTAAACGTATTTCTTCTGCAGTTTACTTTATTTATGTATTAACAGTAGATTCTGGGAATTTGAACGATTTTAGAAGCCTAAATTTAAAAAATATTTCATTTACTTTTGAATTAAATTTTTAAATTTTGAAAAAAATCGCCCTTTTTCAAAATATTTCAAAAACTAACAAAGTTATAAAAAAGATGATCGTATAAGAAATTGTAGGTTTTTTCTTACTGAACAATTTGCATTTTTTAAAATTTTTGTAGGACAAAATTTGACTGAATTATGACTGTTAGAAGCTCAAAACTAAGCTCCAAGACTGCCTTTCCTGAGCCCTTTTAGCTTACAAATCTAAAAAACGAAGGGCTCAAAAAACTGCAAATCACAGAATTTAAAGTGCTTTAAATTCCCTATAAAATGGTTTTTTGAGTAAATTTATAACTTTAAAATTGCAAAAGTTATGTAAAAAAATTAATCGCATTTTTTCGGTGCGGGTAAATTACTATCATCTTTGTGTATTTTGGAGCATTTGTGAATTGATTTGAGTTAATATTTCAATAATATTTATAATATTTGATATTAATTTAATAAAAAAATATTAAGAATAAATTCAATAAGATTTAAAAAAAAAATTATATCATACTCACATATAATTTTTAGGACATTTTTCTATAAGGGGTAGGTTTTTTTATGAGGGGTAGGTCTTCCATGAGGGTTTTTTGGGTGGCTGAAAAGTTGCAATAAAATTTTAATAAAAAAATAATAATAAAAAATTTAATTAAATAAAAATTAATCCTTTAAATGTAAAAGAGAGGAAAGGAACATTATTGTTATTATTTTTTGTTTAAATTTAATCTAATTTTAATAAAAAAATAATAATAAAAAATTTAATTAAATAAAAATTAATCCTTTAAATGGAAAAGAGAGGAAAGGAAAATTATTATTATTATTTTTTGTTTAAATTACTATGAAATTGACCAAAGTGGGATTAATTCAAGAGCGATTTTCTCAGAAACCGTTAAAGATAACGATTTGAAACAAGAGTACCTTTTTAACGTAAAACAGTTCGGGAAAACGGAATTTGCTGTCCAATTTGTTAAAAAGTCAAAGATGAAAAAGTTACACACGCAAAGTACCAAGGGCCCCCCCGTACCCACCCCAATGGACCTTGTGGAAATAAATGGATTAGTCCATCAAATTGCTCATCAAAATTTAGCTGTGTATACCAAATTTCATTCATTTATCACAACGCGATTGAGAGATATTGCAAAAAAATGATTTCCATTCCTCCCTCTTCAATGGGTCCCTGTGCCCTTAGGAAGCATTTCCGGACCCATGTTCATATGAACTTTTTTACTTAGTTTTGATCATAGAATCGGCCTGTTCAGGGTTGGCAGCTAATTATGAGACACCCTGTATATGCATACCATTAAAACATCTCAAGCTTTCAATAATATTTTATTTTACTATAAGGGACGGTTTTTAAGGGTTGCAACTTTGTAATGAGTCGTAAGCTTTCTAATGAATAACAAAAGAAATGCAACACATTGTGAATGCACCAAAAGAATATTTTAAACTGTTAAAAACTTTTTTTTTCAATTTTTTTGGCCATGGAAGAGTGGATTTTAAGGATTTTTAAGGGTTGAAAAGTAATTAAATTTCATAAATTATATTAAAAAACATGAAAGGAACTTTACCCAACATATTTGAACATGAATTGAATCTTTAAAATACGTAAACCTGCGATTTTTGCATTTTCTTCGTACAAGGGTCGTTTTCACCCCCAAATAGAAAAAAGCACACATCTAGACAATATAACTTTTGAAGCGGGGGGTCAGATGAGCTTGTATGCAAATTTTCAGGAAAATCCATGGTATCCGAAAAAATTGGGAGCCTTTACCTTATCTTCGCCTTCAATGAAAGGACTAAAAATATTGTTGATAGCTACAACTTTGTTATTTATTTCTTAAGCTGCATTCCAATAAATTAAGGAAACTGAAAGACGAATTATATATGAACGGCTATTTCTGCACAGGCTTTCGGCGCCGTTGAAGCGATGAGTGACCGAATCTGCATCCATTCCAACGGCGAAAAAAAAATATCCGTATCAGCTCAAGACCTGCTCACTTGCTGCGCAACATGCGGCTACGGTTGCAATGGCGGATATCTCGAATCCTCCTGGAAATACTGGGCTGAGAGCGGTATCACAACCGGTGGATTATACGGAGAGACAGAGGCAAGTTTCTACTGACAATCTGCAGCCGAAAGAACACTGATAAATCCTATATATCGTTACAGGGCTGCAAAGCTTATTCCATCGAACCATGCGCTCACCACGTCGACGATTCCGTCAGGCCGGCTTGCACTGATATCGTCCGAACACCGGCTTGCGTCCAACAGTGCGACTCCGACGAACTCAATTACAAGGACGAGCTTACTTTCGGCAGAAAGGACAGCATTTATCGGGTCCCCGATGACGAGGCCCAAATCCAACTGGAGATCTTGACGAATGGGCCCGTAGAAGCGGCCTTTGACGTATACGAGGATTTCTTTTCATACAAGAGCGGTGCGTATTTAGTTTTTTTTTATATCATTTGATTTTATACAGGGTGTCCGGTAAGTACCTCCTAATCTCTCGGGAGTGTATAGGGGATGTCAAAATAAAACTAGTCCTTCCTATAATTTTTTACCCTGTATATTTTAATAAAATTTTCGTACGTTGTATTACACATGGAGCTCTACGATTTGATGCTAAAATCAACTTTTTGCTATTATCAGGTGTCCAGAAACGGACTGGCCCTATCACAATTTTTCTCAAAATTTTGACAGAAGTAATTTTATCAAACTGAAAATATTATTATTAGATACTCTGAAGGTTTTTCTTTAAAAATGGTACTCTTTATTTATTTCGAAAAAATGAACGGTTTGCGAGATAAATCGGTTTTGAAAAAAATTGGTAACAAAAACAACAATTAAAATTTATTTTTTTTACATATTATTTCATGCATTTAATTTCTTTAACTTTATCAAGTCCAGAAATCTTTGAACGGGTTGGCTATACTTTATGAGCAAGTAGTGACCAATTAAAAATAACATTTGAAAAATAACTTACTTACAAGACATGCAACAAAGAACATTCAACAATGAACAAAGGTACCTAAATGTTACTTCGGTAGATGTTCAAAATGAGCACCCCGTACTTCAATGCACTTTCTAATCCTACGAATGTTTTCCCGGTGCACTTGAAATAATATTCCGTGATTATTGCGGAGATGGTCACAGTTCTGTGTTAGCCTCAGCAGAAGTTCCTCTCTACTATTTACGGGTGTTGAATAAACGTTATTTTTTAAATGACCCCACAGAAAAAAGTCTAATGGGTTTAGGTCGGGCGACCTAGGTGGCCATAATACAGGTCCGCCTCGACCTATCCATCGATCACCAAAAACATTCGTCAGATGTTGACGTACTAAACGATCAAAGTGGGGTGGTGCACCGTCATGCATGTACCACATTTCAGTTCTTATTTGAAGGGGCACTTCTTCTAACAAAATATTTAGATTTTCCTCTAAAAATTGCAAATAAAGAGCACCATTAAGTCTTTGCTCCAGAATAAATGGACCAATCAAATGATTCCCGATAATGCCAGCCCACACATTCACCATAAACCTTTGTTGGTAGCGAGTTTGAACTAAAGCGTGAGGGTTTTCTTCATCCCAGACATGTAGATTATGCGAATTAATTATGCCGTCTCTTGTAAAACCTGCTTCATCGGTGAACAAAATAGATGTACCAAAATTATGATTCCGAATATGATGCTGTAAAAACCAATTGGCGTATTGAAGTCTTTTTGGATAATCATCTGGAGACATAGCATGTACTTTTTGGATGTGGTACGGGTAAAGCAATTGTTCTTTCAGAGTTTCATGTACAGCCCATTTTGTAACATTGTTTTGCGCCGCAAGCTTCCTTATGCTATTTGAAGGATTATTAGCAACGTCTTCCAATATTTGTTCCTCTACATGAGGGTCTCGTACTCTCCTCGGGGCTCCTGCTCCACCACGGCGTGGCAAAAAGCTTCCTAAATAAAGGATTCGGAAGAAATTAGTTTCACTAACGTTTTTCACTATTTTTTTTTACCTGTTTCTCTTAAACTACGATCAACTCTTTCAAAAGTTTTTGGACTCGGCAAATGTCGACCCGGAAACCTTTCCTCATAAAGTCTTCTTGCCTCCACGGAGTTGCATAATGCTTCCCCATAAATTAGGTGCATATCAGCATATTCTGCACAGGAATATTCTTCCATTTTTAAATGTTATTTCTAACGGCTTAAAACGAATACCACAATAAAATTGAATTTTTATTCTGTCACGCGCCTTTGACAAGTACTTTAAAATCAACAGGGTCTAACAACGAAAACAATAGAAAAGAACTCCATGGAGACAAGAGCAATAATAATTTGTAGATGTATTTTGGTCATAGATGTTGATTTTACAAGAAACGGCATTATTCATTCCCTTAATTCACCACCAGTAAATGTTTATGGTGAATCTGTAGGCTGGCACTAGCGGGAATGATTTTATTGTAAAAAAATAAATTTTAATTGTTGTTGTATTTGTTACCAATTTTTTTCAAAACCGATTTATCTCGCAAACCGTTCATTTTTTCGAAATAAATAAAGAGTACCATTTTTAAAGAAAAACCTTCAGAGTATCTAATAATAATATTTTCAGTTTGATAAAATTACTTCTGTCAAAATTTTGAGAAAAATTGTGATAGGGCCAGTCCGTTTCTGGACACCTGATAATAGCAAAAAGTTGATTTTAGCATCAAATCGTAGAGCTCCATGTGTAATACAACGTACGAAAATTTTATTAAAATATACAGGGTGGTTTCAAAGTTATAACCCTAAACGTTAATTTCTAGGTACCCCTTTGACCCCCCATAACTCCGTTATGGGGCACATTAGGAAAAAAAATTATAGGAAGGACTAGTTTTATTTTGACCTCCCCTAAACACTCCCGAGAGATTAGGATGTACTTACCGGACACCCTGTATACCTACAATAAGTTTCTCCATTAGAATCGATAGTGAAATTAGGAACGTGAAGGAAACAAACAAAATTACTTGGATTCTAATCATTTATGAACGCTTTGTAGTAGTTTAAATGTCTTTTCCTTGACTCTACCGATTCTTTTCTTTGGGATATCCTTCAACTTAAACATGAACTCAAGTATATCCTGTTCTTAGTTTCCTTTAAGATATAAGTAGTTCATTCCAATTACCGTTTTGTTTCAGGTGTATACCAAAAAGTAGCAGGGAAAGCCGTAGGTGGACACGCCATAAAGATCCTGGGTTGGGGTGTGGAGAATGATACACCCTACTGGTTGGTAGCCAACTCCTGGAACACCGATTGGGGCGAAAAAGGATACTTCAAGATCCTCCGTGGGTCTGACCACGTTGGCATTGAATCCGAAATTGTTGCCGGCCTGCCGCAATTGTAAAATATGTGATCATTTAATTTTTTTGTTTAAAATAGACTGAGAAATATATGAAAGTTTCCAAAATATTGTTAATTAATAATTATTTTTTGCTAAAACCTATTTATTTAATTGAGTACTCGTGCCACAGTGAAAATAAAAAGGAATTAAAAAAATTAGCTTTGCCTGCACTGTTGTGAAATAGTTTATAAATAATAAGCCTTGTAAGATTTGTATTTTTCATTTCACATCTAACACTATAATTATTTTTGTGAAATTTTTTATTACTTTTTGCTTGAGTATAGTCTTTCCGATATCAATTGATAGTATGTACCAGGTTCGGTCGCTGACTCGGCGTTGAAATATTTGAGAAACTTGTTCCCATATTTATTTAGCCATACCTATAAACAGATTTGGTCGGACTAAACGTAGAGGTGATAGAAATGTATACGCTCAATTGAAGAAAGCGAGCGCGGGCAAAGGAAAACGATCACAGTTGCATTGGGCTACTGGGCAATAAATCACAGCCGACAAGTGGTTGATAAATTGCCCAGCAGTGCAGTGCAGCAATCCGGAATTTGGGAAAATTATAATTTATTTATAAAAACCTATCCCAATAGGAGTGGATAGTTAAGATAAATGAATAACCTTGTACGTAGCGATTTTATTTCGATTAAAATTAATTTTAACCAAATTAACGAAAGATAATAATGTGCCGATAGGATAATATACAGAACGTAATTTAAGGAATCGTCGTATGAAAAGGCTTACTTACTTTATTCGATAAACACTTTTAGATCCTACCTATTTAATTTTATAAAATTTAAACAGGAGCTTCCAATTTTCTTTCTAAAAAAAAATCATTAAAGAAATAAATCGAATTCCACTGAATATAAAGTTATTAAAGAAAAAAGGGAATGAAGCTTGTAGAGATGTAGAGTGTCGTTCTTTCAGTGAACATATTTCATATTTCAAATAGGATGCCTACGGAGAAAATCTTGTAACATCCACACAAATTTCTAAATAAGGATTTATTTATCAAACATATTCGACTCTTCATCTTTTACTTCAAAATACATTTATTTTTTATTCCTGGAAATGAAGTATCATATTTTGATTTACACTTTGTTCGTCAATAGATATCTAATTGCTTTGTAATTGTTCTACGAGTATCCACATCCGACAATTGCTTTGTAGACAACTAACGTCTGGAAACACCACGTTTTTTTTTATCATTTTGTACATACGAATGCATGTACCTACGTACTTATTTAATAAATAAAACTGCAATTAGCAATGTTAGACAGTATGCATGTACAAAAATCGCAAGTAAAAATCAGAAGTTATGGATCCTTTTATACAGGGTGTCCCATTTTTATTCTGAAAAAAATCGGGAAGAGGTAAATCCGATAAAATTAAATGGACTTTGCTATATTTCGAAATCTGAACTTTTTCCGAAATACAGGGTGTTGAAGTTAATTTTTTTTTCATTTTTTGTTAATATTTCTTAGAGTTATAAACCGATTGTTCTCAAATTTTGTGTGGTGAATGCCTCAGTGCACTAGTTCGACAGAAAAAGCAGTGGCTTCCTTATCTAAGAAATGTTGAAGTGCATTCCTGGCTAATTGAATACTATCTGTGATTACTGACAATGATCGTTTTTTTTTAAGTTGGAAAAAATTAAAACATTTAAAATTCTTTTTTGTTTAACTAATTTCAGTGGAGAATATTTAAAAAATGAAAATAAAGTGCTCGACAAATTATTAACAATTTGCTACATTGTAGGTCATTTTGAATTAAATTGGATATACAACTGACTATATACCAATATAGAAAAAAATAAGTAATTTCCAATTGAACATTTTGTCACTCACCAAAATAAATACACTATTTTATGTAAAATCAAAAATGAAATGTTTCTCGTCTCGTTCACTCTAACCATGGGCATATAAATACAATTTTTTATATGCATAGTGCGAATATCGTAAAAAAGATTCAGAAAAATTTCACTTTTGGGGTGCCTGGTGACATAACACGTTAAAAAATAGAAATAGGCTATTTTGGAAATTTGGCGAAGGGCAGCACTGCTCCATAATCCGGTCCTGAGAACACAGATACGGATCTATCTTAGTCCCAAGTACCTATTGATACGAACCCTTCAGTATTTACTTACAGTGATAATTGCTTGTATCAAGAATTTTTTTTCTGAATTATCAACCACTTATTCATCCAACTACACGTCAGATCTATAAATTGAGACTCTGCACCTAAGTTGACATTCAGTAGGTTTCAGGTTAATCAGTGAAACCTAGCTCAGTTTACCCACTGTAGCAGAAGAGTGGTAAGTATAAGTTTGTACACATTCCGTGAAAAATTATCTCATCATCAGACCATAATTTTTATTTAATTTCCCTTCCAGATCCATCACTATGAAAATATTGTTGTGTCTAGCTCTGGTGGCCGCCTCCTACGCCCTACCCAGCGTAGAGGTGCACCCGCTCTCAGACGAATTCATCGACATCATCAACAGCAAGCAGTCCACGTGGACTGCTGGAAGGAACTTCCACGTCAACACGTCCTTGGATTATATCCGTGGATTGTCGGGCGTCATCAGGACATCCGTGAAGACTTTGCCCGTCAGGGTTCACGAAGTGGGCGGCAGAGAAACCATCCCCGAGTCCTTCGACGCCCGCGAACAATGGTCCGATTGTGCTGCCATCATCGGGGCGATCAGGGACCAAGGTTCCTGCGGGTCTTGTTGGGTATGTGGGCCAGGAAAAAGAGCTGGGAAATGACAATTTCGCGACTTTCTGTTTCGGCAAGCTGAATTTATCACTCTAGAAGCTAAATGTTATGTACAATAATTTCCACAGTCATAAAAATGTGGGGATTATTGTTTACAGGGTGGTTAATTGTATAATTTTTTCGAAAATTCACGTTTTTCGCTTATAACTTTTTTCCGTTCATTTCCACGAGAAAACAGTAAGGTACTTTTTTATCGTGAAAAAAATCAGTGCGATTGTGGAAGATGCTTGGGATCGTCCAGGCTAATAACACAGACCAACAAAATTTAACTTTTATTTTGGAAGCAAGAAACTTGAATATATATTTCCGAAGGATTAAAGTGCGCTGAATCCGAATCTGGCAGCAGAATTGCTTTATCACGTCAGGTTTTTGAGATATCCTAACCTAAAAGTGAGAAAAACACTGTTTTTCGTCATATTTGAGGTTATGTAGTAATGCCATCTATTCTTTTTCAAAAAACTAATACATTGAATCTAAGGCTCCCTCCTTCGAATGCCGTTGAGTTTGCTCAAATATCTTTTTTTTTTTCGTTGAGATATCACATGCTGAAATTTTTAAGTTTCTCAGTTTCTTAATATGCAAAAACCTACTAAGGATCCCTTAGACGTCAAGCAGTCGATTGCAATTCCAGAAACTTCGTACCCATACGGTTTGTGGGTTTGGAGTTGGTGGGCTTGGAGTTTGTAGGTTCGGGTTTTGTGGCATTGCAGTTTGTGGGTTTAGAGATTGTAGGTTTGGGGTTTGTGGGTTTGTGGATTTGGAGTTTGTGAGTTTGAGTTCGTATGTATTTAAGGTTTCTGAGTATGAACTGTTTGACGTCTAAGGGATTCTTAGTAGATTTTCGCATATTAAGAAACTAAGAAACTTAGAAATTTCAACATGTGATATCTTCGATATCGCATTCGAAAGAGGGAGCCTTGTCCTTTTAAGTTATATGTATTTTTTTTTAAAGAATACTACATTACTACATAACCTCAAATATGAAAAAAAAAAAACAGTGTTTTTTGCACTTTTATGTTAAGATATCTCAAAAAGCAGAAGTGATAGAGCAATTCTGCGACCAGATTCGGATTCAGCGCACCAAAATCCTTCGGGANGGTAACAAATAAGCTCCTTGCGGTTTCCGCCATGTCTGAATTAGCCTATAATGCAATATTATCTTCAACGGTGAAACTACATTTACAATAAAAATGTGATGTTTCATGGGCCTTCTTTTGGTATTTTTTGATTTTCAAATGAAAATACGAGTAATAACATTTTATTATTCAAAATTATTTGTTATTATTACTACAAAACTATCTACTTAACTGGGATATTAAACCCGGATTTAGTAACAGTTACGGAACACCTACAACAACGATGATAATAATAGTACAAAAGGAAAATTAAATAAAAATTGTAATAGAATTTGATACATTCATTTTGCAGTAGGAATTTTTGAGCAAGTAATGAATTATTGAAATGGATTTTACTAGAAAACGGTTCATGCTATTAAAACCTAACAAGAGTACCTTTTTTATGCAAAACATGATAAATTTTTATATTTTCGGTTTAGGAAGTAGAAAAAGTTGCGTACAAAAAGAAAATTGTAAAATTTGCCCCATGATTCCGCATTTTCTAAGACTCCTGTAGCAAATTTTTATTTGTATATTATACCGATTATTAAGCATATAAATAGTAATACAACCCCAATATTTCGTTATTTAATATTAAACCGTTATGAAGTTATGAAATAAAAACTGCTCTCTGAGTTTTTTCACAGGTTTTCATCATATTTACANATTCTTAGTAGATTTTCGCATATTAAGAAACTAAGAAACTTAGAAATTTCAACATGTGATATCTTCGATATCGCATTCGAAAGAGGGAGCCTTGTCCTTTTAAGTTATATGTATTTTTTTTTAAAGAATACTACATTACTACATAACCTCAAATATGAAAAAAAAAAAACAGTGTTTTTTGCACTTTTATGTTAAGATATCTCAAAAAGCAGAAGTGATAGAGCAATTCTGCGACCAGATTCGGATTCAGCGCACCAAAATCCTTCGGGAATGCATATTAGTGTGTCTTCTTCTTGACCCTTGTTGACCTGTGTAATTAGTTAATTTGTTTATAAGGCCATAACTTGTAAACTATTCAACTTAACCGATTCCAGATTTCGTGTGAGTTATTACACAGTGATAAGGTAGGAGAGGATGCGATGCCAAAACGTTCTGGTAATAATAACGCAGTTTATAAATGTGAATTTACGTTAAAATTATACAATTAACCACCCTGTAAACAATCTTCCTCCCATTTTTATGACTGTGGAAACTAATATGCTATTGTGCATAATATTCAGCATCTATAGAGATAAATTCAGCTCGCCGAAACAAAATGTCGCGAATGGTCATTTTCATTTCATTTTTTGTACAGGCTCTCGGTGCCGTCGAAGCAATGAGCGACAGAATCTGCATCCACTCCAACGGCCAAAAGAAAGTACTCGTATCAGCTCAAGACCTGTTCACATGCTGCACAACTTGCGGTGTGGGCTGCAATGGCGGATTACTCGGACCCGCCTGGATTTNATGAGCGACAGAATCTGCATCCACTCCAACGGCCAAAAGAAAGTACTCGTATCAGCTCAAGACCTGTTCACATGCTGCACAACTTGCGGTGTGGGCTGCAATGGCGGATTACTCGGACCCGCCTGGATTTATTGGGCTGAGAACGGTATCACCACCGGGGGACTATACGGAGAGACACAGGCAAGTTCCCACAGAAAATGTGTAGCTGAAAGAACACGTGTAAATCCTAAATACCATTACAGGGCTGCAAAGCTTATTCCATCGAACCGTGCGCTCACCACGTCGACGATTCCGTCAGGCCGGCATGTACTGCTTACGTCAACACACCGGCTTGCGTCAGAGAGTGCGATTCCGACGAACTCAATTACAAGGATGAGCTCACCTTCGGTAAAAAGGACAGCATTTACCAGCTCCCCGACGACGAGACCCAAATCCAACTGGAGATAATGACGAATGGACCCGTAGAAGCCGCCATTGATGTCTACGAGGACTTCTGGTACTACAAGAGCGGTACGTATCTACATCGCATTTTATTCAGACATAATTAAAACAAAAACAATTTCGGGTAGTACATACATTTACAAAGTTTTATTGCGTTTATAAATTGTACAAAAAATGCTCTGATTCGATTATAAAAGTAAGTAGGTACATCATTATCTGTTTCAGTTTAAACCGTGCTATTTTGTTTATTTGTGCGTTAATTGTGAAGCTATAGTCCAATCACTGAAGGCGAAAATAAAGTAAAAGCTCCCAATTTTTTTGGATAGCATGGATTTTCCTGAAAATTTGCATACAAGCTCATCTGACTCACCACTTCAAAAGTTATATTGGCTAGATGTGTGCTTTTTTCTATTTGGGGGTGAAAACTACCCTTGTACGAAAAAAATGCGAAAATCGCAGATTTACGTATTTTAAAGATTCAATTCATGTTCAAATATGTTGGGTAAAGTTCCTTTCATGTTTTTTTATATAATTTATGAAATTTAATTACTTTTCAACCCTTAAAAATCCTTAAAAACTAACCTTCCATGGCCAAAAAATTAGAAAAAAAAGTTTTTAACAGTTTAAAATATTCTTTTGGTGCATTCACAATGTATTGCATTTCTTTTGTTATTCATTAGAAAGCTTACGACTCATTACAAAGTTNGCGCTTTGACAGATGACGTTTAAGTTCATTTGCTATACGCTACGCCCTACGTCCAAATTTTCAGAACCAACTTGACCACGTTTTTATTTGAACGCTCGTTATATAAATTTATTGAATTTATTTTTATTTGTAAGTGAATACTTTGTAAAGACTTTAACAGTAACACAAAGTCTTACGTCGTTTGACCCGTATTGTCCTCCTGTAACGATGCCTGTCCGAGTCCAATAGGTCCATGCAGAGTCGACAAATCCTCCGTAGCAGCCCAGACCGCACATGAATCCGCAGCAAGACAACAGATCTTCAGCCGAAACTGACACTTGCTTTGTACCGTTGGAATGAATGCAGATCCTGTCGGTCATCGCTTCGACAGCTCCAAAGGCCTAAGAATGATATTCAGTAATTGCCGACTCTAATGTACTATTACTAGGTATATGTGATTCTTTTCCACGACTATATCTATTTAGTTAGATTCGATAATTATTAAGTTTGTCTTTAAAACTTCAATTTAGAATTAAACTTGGCAATATTTCGTTTTTAGGCTATTAACTCAACCTGATGCAGCTTAACTTACCCAGCAAGACCCGCAAGAAGCCTGGTCCCTGATTTCCCCGATGGAGGGACAGTCCCCCCAGTGCACGCGGGCGTCGAAAAAATTGGAAATTGTTTCTCTCCCGCTCACATCATGTGACTTGACTGGCAAAGTCCTGTTCGTGTTTCTTAACGCCCCGTATAAGCCGCGAAGTTGAGAAATCGAGTCTACGTGGAAGTTTCTTCCGGCTTTCCATGTAGACTGCCTGCTGTTGATGATGTCCACGAATTCGTCCGACAAGGGGTCCACTTTGGAGGCGGCGGGCAGAGCGTACGAAATTGCGAAGAGGGTTGTACAAAACGCGATTTTCATGTTGACGGATCTAAAAGCGAATGTAGATATACCTACAATACATCTAATTAAATATTTAAACAACGCGTGATCTAATTACTTACCTGAATAGTACCTATTAGGCACACTATAAGTTAAAAATTGTTCTGATAAAACTCTTAAGATCAAATCTAGACTTCTTAAAGTAAATTGCGAATTCCATTATAATTAAATTACCTACACAACAAGTTGGGGATTTCCATTTTTTTCAATAAACTTTCTCAATACGTTTCCGTTTTATCAGTTGAATGTAAATATTGACAGGTTTATTCTATTATTTCCCGCTTTCGATCACATTTACTCCTTGTTTGTTTCGTACATCTGAACCTACATTTTTTCATTTTAAATGTAATCCACGAACAACTTAAAATTTTAATTTTTTTCAGTGAGATTTATTTGGTTAGGCAAAAATAACCCCTGACTGATACATTTGGCGCAAGGGTGTATTTTACTACTTTTTTTTTTAATTTTTTAGCAGGTGGTAAAATACCCAAAAAATAAAAATATACAGTGTGTCTACTTAAGTTGGAACCATATGGAAAACCTTTTTATTATTGGTTTTATGAAAAAAAGTTATTCTTCATAAAAAGTTCTGCATAGTCTAAAATCTAAAATGCAATCTTCAGTTATCAAAATTTCCCAGTTATATACGAGGTATATCAGATATTATGAATTTTGCTCAAGAATAAAGTACCCTTATTTTTGACAATACAGAAGAGTGTTATAAAGAAAAGTTATTTTTAATTAAAAGTTATTTTCAAATATGCAGTTACAGCTTTAGCATGAAGATTCGGGTTTTGTGATTATTTACGTTTTACATTATAAATTATTTGTATTATTATTATAATTAAATTGTAAGGTTATTCATAAACATTAACAAATAGAAAAGTTATCGTATTTTTAACAAATAAAAGAGATAAATACAAATAATTTATAATGTAAAATATAAATAATCACAAAACCTGAATCTTTATGCTAAATGGCTGTAATTGCATATTTGAAAATAACTTAATTACTGTCACTTATTGTTATAACATTCCTCAAACTAATTCATATCAAAAATTCAGGCAAGTTGACCAAAATTTCGATTTAAAGGCTTATTTAATTGGACTATAAGCTCAGACATTATTAGGAGACTTTTTTGTGGGGATTTTAAAATATAGTCGTATTACCTGCGACGCCTACCAACAATACTGACGTAAAATTCTTGTTTTTGTTACGGACCCCAACCATCATTGTATATTTGACAGACTATGACTATGTAGTCTAGATTTTTTTTCTAGTTTTATAATAAGGTTGAGTTTTTGAAAACCCTACTCTTATTACGGAATTCAAAGAAATTTTTTAACAAAAAAGACAAATCTTACATAACTCAAATACGATTTTAACTTGAAGAAGAAAGAGCTAGATAATTAAAACGAAAAAAGATAGGTCAAATTTGCCATAAAATTCTGCAATTTCTTCGACACTGTATTTCTCAAAAGAATAAAAGAGATCTTAAAGTGTGTTTCGAAAAACGAGCACTCGATATTAACTTATATTAGAGAAATGATAATTATATTCACAAATATTCTGATTTATCATTTCAAAATATTAATACTTATACTTACTTTTTACTGCGAAGACTGGAAACCACAACAATTTTTAATTTTTGATGCAATTCAAATAAAAATCTATACTTGTTTGCGACCGATAGATAAAGTAAAAACAAGTATCTGAGCTGGCATAACAATTTAAAGGGTACTCGAGGACCAGCAGTCGATTAAAATCTTTAAAAATATTTCAGAATAGATTATCAGCATAAGCATATTGTCTGTAGTACTTAGTCATTCTAAAATTGTCAATAGATTTTTTTTTATCAATGATTACTAATACACATAGAATTCAAATTGAAAATTTACAAAATATCGTCATTTTGTTTGATTATGAATATATAATAAAATGTTTGGACACCCCGTAAAATATATACATTTTTAAATATAAATTTAAATTTTTTCTTTATAATGACGTACAATTTTTTTTCGTCACACTGTAGAGTGGTGACGTCATATATTTTTTAAATGGGATTGTATAAATTTTTTTGCACGTTCTAATTGATTGTTTTATTCTCTTTCCAACCATATGAAATTTGTATGCCTTTGCGTAACGAAATTTTTGATAAAAAATGAGAAAACATTCGTTTACGGTGCTCGCTTTCTACAACATATGAAATAGAAGGCGCTGGAAATACAATTTTGCATGGTACCGCTACCTGTCACATATCGGTTTGTCTGTAATTGTTGGCACCTTTCAAGTTTAACTTGTAACAAAATGAATGATTGATGAATCTAATTACAAGAGAATTTGGAAGAATTTACAGTTATTTAGTATGTTCATATTCATATTACATATTTTCTAACAAGACGGTGCACCTTCATATAACGTTAAATTAAATGCGAATTATGTAGTAGGTATCGAAAGAAATGCACATCAATTTGAACAGTACTTTTAAATTTCATTACTCATTTTACATTTTTTGTTTGTATTTCATATTGTACTGTACAATTTTTTGTTTATTAATGGATTTTGGACTGATAAGAAATGATGAATGTATGTTCATTATTACAGTAGGTAATTTACCCCGGAAACATTAGATAACGCAGAACTCAATCTCTTTGTTTTAACTTGCTCTATTAACACACTAGATTTACAACAAACAGGTATGTACCAGAAAAATCAATAATGTAGAATGTAGGTAAGTGTAAGCAAATATTGTATCAGTACTCTCGATTCTATATTCAGTAATTACCGGTTAATTGTTATTGCATGGCAAATATTAGTAATACACAAAATAAACAATAGAAATTATATAACATCGTTGTCTATGCCACCATAATGCGAAAATAACAAATTAAGTAATAGTGATGAATTAAAGAATGTTTAAAAATTGAAGTCGTTTTCTAACGACTAAACATAAATAATGAAATTACAAAACATTTGGAAATTTGACACTTCACAAATTATTCATTGTCATGCAAAAAGAAAGCTTACCGTTGATCCACAGCCAACGTGACCAAGTCCCTCGAGGAATTCCTACCATTTGCTGTCACATTAACTCGCGAAACGCGAAATTGGTAGTTTACAATTGATTCCCCAGAAGATTGAACCTAATGACTCAAATCCAAGTCGCCTCTTCGAAGAAAGCATTTAGGGCCTCAACACTCGAAGAATACGTCGATAGCGTGAATTACCGAATATTGCCCGAGATACACGTCTCTGGCTCAACTCATCAATCAACGGATATCAACGAATTTTATCAAGTTGATCGCGGCGATCAACAGAAAACTCCGATTAGTCACTTTTAGTCATTGTCACTAACACTCTTTCATCACTAAACCACTGTGGATGTCTGATTAGACTTAATGAATCCTGAAATAAAAATATTATATTAGACTTTTGAATACACGATTACTTTCTTTTGCATCTGCTGGTAGTGTACGCATGATTAATGTTGTGATTATACTGTTATACGAAACAAAAGTAGCAAGCAAAAATTATAATAGACCGAAAATTTGACTGCGTATACCATGGTGTCATACAGAGGGTAGAAATACCAGTAATACGCCCAAAATTCTAAAAAACAAGTCACGTGCGAGTTGGTTAAAATAACTACTAAAGCTTTGCATGTAAAAAAACGAAAACCACGCTACATGTTTTATGAAATGCAGACAAAAAAGTCAACACAAATATTCTGCAAACAAATTGTATGTGCGATATATAATACGATTTAGCTAGCTAGACTTTCATTTTAGCGGAGTAAAAACCAGTCTCTNGTTTTTTTTCCCGTTACGTCATTAAGGTAGTTCGATACATCTCTTGCGGGGCAGGCGGTGCGGGAGGAAAGCCTATGCTTATACCCGGTAGTTTCGTTGTGGTACCAACCTTACGTAAATTAATTTGAGTGAACTAAATATAATATATACGAATGAAATTTATACAACACACATTAGCTTGCATATATTTTTCGTGTTTAATGCACGGCAATTAACTTTTTATTTGAATAAATGTGTCTATTTATTCATTTAAGAACTTGTAAAATGATGGGTGAAATCTGGCAACATTGCCCTGGCGTGGTGGTAAAAGTTGGGTCAACTGTCATTACTGTCAACTGTGCTTTGCGCGTTTTCCGTAAACATGAATGAACATACAAGATACAAGGGAAAAGTAATGATTGAAGAGCAATATAATATGCGCAGTAAACAGAATGTGGATTGATGAGAAAAAAGTAAAATGTCCAAACCGAGAATCCATATGATAACTGTCAAGAAGCTCAGTGTGTGATAGTGAGACGACCCCTTGTGAAAATTGAAATTGAAATTGAAAATTATGATGGAACATCTATACTGTTCGTTTTGCAAAGAGATACTTTCAATTTTTGTTTCAAATTGTTATTATATTGCATTAGATCACGAAAAATTTATTTAATATTAATTATTACTACATATGTCTTCGACAGCAATAATTTTAGTCTATAATCGAGCTATTCAAATATAGCACGTTAAATACAGCGTACAGTGTTGCCATATTTACTTTCATTAGATCAGATGTTTGTTCAAATTTGCCACAACGCAACGGTATATATTCATTCCATTATCTCAATAATTACATTGTAAGTGCATATTTTTATTGTTTTAAAATGTTTAGTAATATTTAATTCTTTAATTACAATGTTATTTTTCTGATCCTAACCATTTTTAAGAGCAATATTCACGTTTGATTTTTTTTTTCCCAACTCGCATAAGAGCCTGTGTAAAAGAGCATAATTTTTAACAAAAAAAAAAGCAATCTCTTTGCTATTTAATTACCTTCATTTTTGCTTATGTTCAATTTTTTGATAAAATTTGTAGTTTTGAGATATTCGCGAAAAATGGCTCAAAAACATGCATTTTTTTTGGCTAAAAACGAACATGTTTAGGCGCAAATAACTCAAAAAGTATTGACTGTACAAAAAATTCTTATAGAACATTTTTTGCTTAGAATTTATTTTTAATAAAAAAATTCCCACTCTCCAAAAGGGGTGGAATCCACCCCTAGGGTAAAAGCACACATCGGCACTATACAACTTTTGCTTCTTGGGATATTCCCTGGCTACAGTTCAAATTTCACGTCAATCCATTCCATCCTGGACTACTAAACGAACTCAACGAATTTGATGTTGGACAGGCACACTAATTATTATCACTAATACATGGTTTCAATCGCGTCTATCTATCTTAAATCAGTCGATATAACTCTAGGTGTTGCCCTGTAATTGTCACGTTGTCTCCTTCAAAAGAAATTTGATGTTAAGCCCTCTTGTCGGTATTTATATTTGCTGTGCATCTAGAGGCCCGAATAAAATAACAAGCAACTTATTACGACTATCGTCTTGTTGCAGGTGTATACCAGAACGTAGCAGGAAATCCTGTCAGTGCACACGCCATAAAGATCCTGGGTTGGGGCGTGGAGAATGATACACCCTACTGGTTGGTTGCCAACTCCTGGAACACCGATTGGGGTGACAACGGATACTTCAAGATCCTCCGTGGATCCGACCACGTAGGAATCGAATCCGACGTTGTCGCCGGCCTGCCCCAATTGTAAAATAAGTGATATATTTTTTTTAATTTTAAAACCACAAATATAATAAAGGTTTAAAAATATTGTATGTAAATATTTTCTATCGCGTTTTTTTTTTATTTAATTGGGTATTTCTGCTAAACTGCGAAGAAAAAGTAATAAGAAAGAATCGATTAAGAAGTTGGTTTTATAAACTTAATTTTATCCGATACCGAAAGAGTTGGTAATTGTTCCCGATTTCGCTCTAAAGACCAAGACAAAAGCTTATAAAATCAAGTCCCTGATTGAATTTATTATCCCTAGTGATTATTTATTTAATAATTAAAGGAAAAAGTAACTATCAAAGTAATATCATTTGAGTTAGTTCATCAATAAACCGCATCTATAGCTGCTGTAAAAAACTATAAATACAAAGCCTCAAACAAACATATTTACTTTATCTGCCTCAAATTTAAAACGTGCCTACGTAAACGTTTTCTATTTTTTTTATAGATGCTATTATATTCGTCACATTTATATAAAATTATGCGCTTTGGATATATCTACAATAAACATTCCATAAATTTAAGGTAGAAATCATGTGATAGTGTGATAGATAGTGTGTGTGATAGTCCATAATGTGCAGTCTGCTATATGTGATGTGTGATGCGATATGTGGCGTGTGATAATAATGCAGATGAAACATCCTACTCCGGAATTAGATTTTTAAAGTATGTTATCCTAATAATATTTTGTTGGAGAAAGAATTTTGTTTTTGTAACAACAAAAAAATAAACTATAAAATATTTGTTTTAGAAAATACCGCCACAAGACCTCAAACATTTGATGGAAATTTTATTAATCACTTTTAAGCGACTATAGAACGGGACTCAAATTTTTCTGCTCGTCATTATGAAGTAAAATATAAAGCTATTTGTCGGAAATGCGTATATACAGGGTGTTTCAGAAAGACCTCCCGTAAATTCAGGGGGTGATAGTACGACAAAAAAAAAGATTATTTTTTTTATGAACTATATGTTAATCTCCTCCAGTTTTCGAGATACAGAGCGACCAAATAAAATTTTTTAAATAGAATTTCTACGAAAATTTCCAAACGGTGCGAAATATTTTTATGAAATTTGGAATTCCGAGGTTTTTAAGGACGACGAATACACTGGTCTAATTATTTTTTGTATATTTTATAGAGGGCGCTACTTACGCTACATTCCTATTACATTTTAGGTTCTAATTTTTTTGAGGTTAGGTTTTTACCATTCGCGCTCCAATTTTCAATGTACAATTTTATTTTCTAAAAATATTGTACTCTTGTTAGAACTTCCTAATGTGGACGGTTTTCGAGAAAAAAGGCTTTTAATTGAACTCTTACAATATTACGGTGGAGAAAATAAGTGACTTTTCTCAAAGTAGGCTTATGTCAAAACTTATTGGTGGATGTCGCATACATTCTCAGTAATATTGTAAACTCTAATTAACTTTATATCAAAATTTTAGTGACTGTTAGTGACTGTAATTAGTTAGTAATGACTAATTACAGTCACTAAAATTTTGTTATAAAGTTAATTAGAGTTTAAAATATTACTGAGAATAGATGCGTTGTTTATGAGACATCCATCAAGTTTTGACGTAAGCCTACTTAGAGAAAAGTTACACTTTCTTCACCGTAATATTGTAAGAGTTCAATTAAAAGCCTTTTTTCTCGAAAACCGTCCACATTAGGAAGTTCTAACAAGAGTACATTATATTGAGAAAATAAAATTGTACATTGGAAATTGGAGCCCGAATGGTAAAAAACCTAACCTTAAAAAAATTAGAACTTAAAATGAACTCTATGAAATATCCAAAAAATAATTAGATCATTATTTGGCGTCCTTAAAACCCCCGGAATACCAAATTTCATAAAAATATTTAGCACCGTTTGGAAATTTTCGTAAAAATTCTATTTAAAAAATTTTATTTTATCGCTCTGTATCTCGAAAACATGGTTCGTAAGACAAAAAAATTCTTATATTTTGTCGTACTATCACTCCCTGAATTTACGGGAGGTATTTCTGAAACGCCCTGTATTATGAAAATAATAGTAAGAGTTGTTTTGTTTCTAAACATTTCTTGATGATAGCCCAACCATGTTTATTTGATAAAACCGTTAGATTTTTGTATTTTTTATTTGCAAATAAATTAAATAGTTTTAATATATCATTAAAAAGATAACTAAAGTCGATTTTCTAAATAAATAAATAAATAAAAGACGAAGGTAAGTGTTAATTCTCATTTAAGTGACACCTAAATAACAAACTAAAATGACTAGTAGTAAATACATTTCATGTAGACAAGAACCGTAAAGCTTCTAGTCATATTCAATACAAGAACATGTGTTACAATTTCGGTATTCCAGCGACGACCTCCGATTCAATCTTAACATGGTCGACTCCTCGAAGGATCTTAAAGAACCCATTATCACCCCATTCCTCACCCCAAGAATTGGCTGCGATCCAATAGGGCGTGTCGTTCTCCAAACCCCAGCCAAAGATTTTCACAGCGTGACCTCCAAGTTGGCTCCCTTCTACGTTCTGGTACACGCCTAAAAAATCACACACATAATATACAGGGTGGTTTCTCTGTCCCTTTTCTATAAAAGAACTTGAATGTCGCGCGGAGATATTTTTTATTTGTGAAAAGCACTTGTCTTCTTTAATTCTGATCGATCAAGCCGTTTCCGAGAAATTCAAGGTTACGTACCACTCTTATAGGACAAGAAATCCTCGTACACATCGAACGTCGCTTCCACGGGTCCATTCGTCATTATCTCCAATTGGATTTGATCCTCGTCGGATGGTACGTAATAAGCGGTTTCACCGAAAGTCAGTTCGCTTTTGTAAGACATAGATGGCGCGTCGCAAGTAAAGACGCACACCGGCGTGAATATATCCTCACATGCCGGTTTCGACGAGTATTCGTTGTTATGCGAGCAAGGGGCTAGGGAATACGGTTTGCACCCCTTAAATAGAGAAATTAAATTATTAAATTATACTTTTTTTAGCTTAAATGGAGGCGAAGTTGCGTAATCAGGGGACCAACATTATGCCTCTAAAAATTCAAGGCTAACATGATTAGTTTTCGAAATATTTGTAAAAAATTTTGGAAAATCGTTTCTGTTTCATTTCAGCCTGGTTTGAGGTGATATTGGAAAAAGAACAACACTTTCTCATGACCACTTTTTGCCCTCTATCGCATGGCATAATCAATTTTTATATGTAACGTTTCGTCTCTCCAGGACCATCATCGACTTTTTTAAATACGACTCGGGAAAGTTTATAACATTTTCTTGCAAGCCTTCATGACCCCCAATACTGTACTGTCAGGGTCGTTTTTTAAAAATATGAAGTTGATGATGGTCCTGGAGAGACGAAACGTTACATATAAAAATTGATTACGCCATTCGATAGAGGGCAAAAAGTGACCACGAGAAAGTGTTCTTCTTTTTCCAATATCACCTCAAACAAGGCTGAAATGAAACAAAGACGTTTTTTTTCAAATATTTCAAAAAAATCCATTTCAATAATTCATTACTTGCTCAAAAATTCCTGCTGAAAATAAATGTATGAAATTGTGCCTTGAGAAAATTACTATTTATGACACTTAACAGAGGTGTCAAGTATATGTCAATTACTGATTAGATTACCTACTCAATATTCCAATCTTAGAAATGTGAATTTAGATACTGTAATAAACATAAACTCAATTATTTTAAATTTAATTTAATTTTATTAAATTCGAAAACGGTAACAAATAAGCTCCTTGCGGTTTCCGCCATGTTTGAATTAGCCTATAATGCAATATTATCTTCAACGGTGAAACTACATTTACAATAAAAATTTTATGTCTCACGGGTCTTTTTTTTATATTTTT